TGTAAAAGATGTGCTTGGAATATCAACAGAAAAATCTCGTAATAGTAAAAAAAGAGATGAGCATCTCATCACTTATAAGAATATATATTAATAAAACTTAGATTGATTAATTTTTTATAAGAAAAATTGATTATTTAGATTGCGAAGATGGTAAAGTTAATCCGAATGAAAGTTTATGTATCAAGTACCAAACATAAATTATTAGCTTTGGACTTTAAGATGAATGAACAAAAAATAAAAAAATAAAATAAAACGTTGTTCTAGGATTAGATGAGGACATTTAAAGAATATTAACAAAATATTTTTAAGAATAAGTTTCTAGATCTTAAAATTTTGTCTGTGCATGAGGCAGTTAATATTATGTAGGAAAAGACAAATAGCGATATTAAGAATGTTGTAAAAGATGTGCTTGGAATATCAATAGAAAAATCTCGTAATAGTAAAAATAGAATTAAAATATGCAAGACAAGATTAAAAATAAAAAGATTTGTTATAAAAATTGGTTTAGATATAAATTTTTTGATAATTGAGATATATATAAAGAGGTCTGTAAGGTATCTAAGAAAATAATATGCGATGCAAAGATCTTAGCTTTTAATGATTTATATAATATATTAGATACTAAGGAGGGTGAAAGATTTATATATATAAGTTAGCCAAACAAAGAAATATTAGTAGTAAGGGTTTAGTTTAAGTGAAGTGCATTAATGATGAAGATCAAAAAGTGTTTCATTAGAAGATGATATTCTATAAAGATAGATGAGATATTTTACTAAACTTTTCAATGAAGATTGTAAGAATTTGATTGACTTTAGTGATCTTAGCACCGTAATGAAAATAAAAATTGTTGTTTTTATTGACGTATTAGTAAGATTGAAGTTAGAGAGGTTTTAAAGAAAATGAAGTGTGAAAAAGCTGTTGGATATTATGATATTCCAATAGAGGTGTGGAAATACTTAGGAGATGAAGGAATTTTTTAGCTTACTAAACTTTTTAATATTATTTCGAAGATTAAAAAGATGTTAGATGAGAGGAGAATGAGTGTGTTGATTCCTATTTTTAAGAATAAGCTAATGCACAAGATTGTGCGAATCATAGAGGAATTAAGTTAATGTGTCATATTTTAAAACTATGGGAGAGAGTTATGGAGCATAGGTTGCGGCATTGACACTAATGTTTCTCAAAATCAATTTGGATTCATGTCATATAGGTCTACTATGGAAGCTATACATTTATTGAGAAGTTTGATGGAGAAGTATAGAGATAATAAGGAGAATCTACATATGATATTTATTGATTTAGAAAAAGCATATGAGAAAATTCTAAGAGAAGTTCTATGGAGAGTTCTAGAAAGAAAGGGGTTAATAATGCTTATATTTAAGTCATTAAGGATACACGTATGCAAGAGCTGTTACTTTTGTTCAAACACAAGATGGTTTGACCAAGTATTTTCCTGTTTTAGTTGGATTACATCAAGGATTAGCCTTAAGCCTATATCTTTTTGCTTTATTCATGGATGTTTTCACTAGAAATTTGCAAGAGGTTGTATCCTGGTGTATGCTTTTTGCTAACGATATTCTTCTTGTTGATAAGACGAGAGTTGAAGGAAAACTTGAATTATGGAGGTTAACCTTAGAGTTTAAAGGTTTCATTTGTGTAAATCTAAAACTTAATATATGGAGTGTAATTTTAATAATAATAGATCTAATGGGGGGATTGTGACTTTGGGTGATCAAATCATTGATAAGAGTATACGTTTAAATATCTTGGGTCTATTTTTTAAAGTGATGATGAAATAGATGGTGATATTATTAGTAGAATTCAAGTTGGATGGTTGAAGTGGAGGAATGCATCGGGTTTGCTGTTCTCAAACTTAAGGGGAAATTATATAAGATAGTGGTGAGACCTGCAATGCTTTATGGTGTAGAATGTTAGCCATTAAAAGAGAAGCATAATATATAATTAAGTGTTGCAGAGATGAGGATGCTCAGGTGGATGAGTGGCTTTACTCTTAAAGACATGATACGAAATGAGCATATGCGTGAAAAGGTTGGAGTAGCTCGAGTGGAATATAAGATTGGAGAGAGTCGTCTTAGATGGTTTAGTCACATAAGACTACGATCTTCTGATGACCGGTTAGGGAAGTAGATTTATTAAATTTGGCTTATGTTGAGAAAGGTAGAGGTAGACCTAAAAAGAATTGATTAGAAAATATTATAAATGACATTTTTATTATATTTAAATGAGAATTTGACGATTTATAGGACACAATGGTGAAAAAGGATTCATTTAGCCGACCCCAATAGTGGGATAAGCTTGATGTTGTTGTTGTTGTTGGAAAGTCTCATGGAATCCTGCTACATAATGAAAGTTGATTTCTCGTTCAATAAAATCTCTATAGCAGTTTACTACCATGTCAACTCTATTGTATAATCTTGCACACTCTACTTATTCTCTTATTTCAAATTATGTCATTCAATTAACTTTTCTTTTTCATATCTGATGGGGTAGAACCGAGCTCTTAGCAAACTCTTGAATTTTGACCATCCTAAGATTGACATATCTTATTAGGTTGTGAATTTCACTGGACTAAATCATATGAGGATATCTTTAGAAGAGTGAAGGTGATCTTCTTTCTATCTAAATAATCATATATGATAAATTATGTTTTAAGAAGTTCGAACAAGTTATCTATTACCTCTTCTATGATTGCCCCATCTTAGTAGGGTAACTACAACATTGCTTCAATTTTAAATGGACTTTCTTTCCTTGGAACCATAGCTTTGAAGGAGCCATCATTACGATCTTCTGATCAACCATTTGTTCTTTTATTTTGGGAAAACACTCCTATAGTGCTTAAATGTTTTCTTCACGGTCCATATTATCTTCGGATGTTTCCTTTCTGGTTTGCAGCCTCCCATAAAATTTTCCTATCGGCTAGAACTTCATATAAATATCTCAATCTATGATCTGTGGTTAGATTTGCAAAAGGTTTGTGGAATCAATAGGAATTTTTCTAAGACGAGGGACAGCATTCCCAAAAGAATTATGGCAGAATTAAAATTTATCCCTCATAAATTTAGTCTAAAAATTAGCAAGAAACTACCCTTTTATCCCTCTTTGCATGACTAGATCTGCTCCTGAAACCCTCAGCCCCATCAACTAGAGTAAGGGCTCTGTTCTCAACCACAGCACTATTGTTTCTATTGTACTTACAAATTGTTGCAGTGAATTTAGTAATGTTGTTGTTGCTATATTGCCAAGCCAAGGAAAGAGGGAAAATAGAAGGATTGGAAGAATTCTTGATTTATTTTAATTGAGGAATCAAGGCTTTTACTTAGGCAATTTGTAGTAGGAAGTACTTTAAGTTTAGCCAAGCCAAGTAAAAAGATGGGAGAAGTAAGGATTTAATTCAAGTGAAGTGTATTAAGGATGAAAACCAAAAAGTGCTTTTCATAGAAGAGGATATTTAGCATAGGTGAATGAGATAATTCGATAAATTTTTGAGAAAATCATTAAAATGGTTCCTTCACTTTTTATGAAAGATCAAAATGGTCATCGACTATATTAAATGATTGTTTTGTTCCCTTCACTCCATAAAAAATATCCTAAATAGTCACTCCATAAGACTATTTTGATTCCTCTTTAAGGACTCGAGGAACCAAAATAATCATTTAATATAGTTGAGGATCATTTTGGTCCTTCATAAAGAGTCAAGGAATCATTTTGGTCCAAGGTTGTGAAAATACGATCGATTATAGTGATTTAGCATCCTTATTGAAAATGGATTTTTTTTATCATTGTATTGATAAAATTGAAATTGGAGAAGCTTTAAAGAAAATGAAGTGGAAAAAATGCTAAATGAGTGGCTTACTAAACTCTTTAATATTATTTTGAAGACAAAAAAATGTTAGATGAGTGGAAAAAGAGTATTGATTCCTATTTTTAAGAATAAAGTTGATGCTCAAGAGTGTGTAAATTATAGAGGAATTAAGTTAATGTGTCTTACATTAAAACTAAGAGAGAGAGCATAGGTTATGACAGGATACTAATGTTCCTCAACATTGAACATTAGTTTGGATTCATGATGAGGTCTACTATGGAAGTTATACATTTGTTGAGAGATTTGATGAAGAAGTATGATAGGAGGCAGTTGCAGAAATCTAATTCTCCTTGGCTGAAATTGAATTTCAACAATCCAAATACAATCTCCAAAGTTATTTTTTGGAAGATAACGGAAGAAAACTCTCTTCAATTGATGAAATAGGGAAGAAAACAAATAAGATACAATGAATCCTCAATTGGAGAGGAGGATCCAGCTCTCGCAAATCTCTAGCCTCCGGCTAGAGTCCAAAACTCCCTAAGAACACTCTAAATTTCTGCAAACATAAGATAAAACCTAACCCTAGGTTAAACAATATATGTAAAGCATACAAAATATAATTAATGCCAAAACAAACCTCATAATTTGAATTTCCCTTCTAATCCCTTCTTTATGCTCCTCTTAATTGTTGTCCTTAATTATTGCTAGATTGATGGGCCCCACTTCAATTAAATAGGCGCTTGTTCTACCTAAACAGACGGAAGGCTATTCTGCCTAACAGACGGTAGCTTGTTCAGCGTCTAACAATACCCCCCAAAGGCCCACCTTGTCTGCAAGCTGGAAAGACGGCTCCTTCCTCAACTTCCTCGTCATCACAAATAGTGAGAACCTAAAGAATTCGACCCTTAAAGTTGTGAACTGGTGTATACTGTTTTTATTACTAGTGAACACTTTTTTTTTCCTGTTAGAATTCCTTATATGACATATTTCCTACTGCCTGTTTTTATGCGTTACTAGAAACAAAATGTCTTATAATATATTTTTTTTAATCAATTTCCTGCTACTGTATGCCAACTTCTATCCATTTAATCACAAGTCATTCTTGTGTGATGGAGCTTAACAGAATTAGCTTATTTGGAGAAAAAGTCATTCATTATATTATTATTTCTTTTTGCAGGGAATTGATGCACATTGTTCTCGTACACTACCGCGCAATCAAGGTTTTAGTTCATTCCCAGTTTTGACTCTCATTTGGGTGTTAAGTTCAATTGGAATAGCTTTTTTTAACACCTTAAAAAAATTTGTTCTTCCTATTCTTTCAAGAATATATGCTAAATTTTATTTTCTTGATTCTTTCTTGTTATCACTGCCTTTCTTATAAGGAAGAAAAGAGGGTGGTAAAATCTGCTTTTGAAAATCCTTCGACTAGTTGTGTCTCAGCTTTTCTTGATCAGAAAAATAAACACGCTCCAGCTGTCTGGGATATGCACTGCTTAGCATTGTTTTCAGTAACGATTCAGTGAGGATAATTTTCTGTCATTTTTTTAGCATTGCAACTTTTAGACCCAAATGCTGTGTTGAATAGATTTCTACTGATTGAGTGGCATGGGCATTAGATTTCCATTATACATTAGTTAGATGTCGACTAGCCATGACATTTTGTGGTTAAGTTCTAGGTATGTTGCCATGAGGTGCACATAAATACTTGGTATGAAATTTAGAGCTTTATGAAATAAGCCTGGTTTCTAGTATGCAATAACACTATTTTATGGAAGATTTAACATATCCATCATGTATGAGACTATTATCAAAGGAAAGCTAAGCCATGTGTTGGCAACTCAAGAAAAAGAGCACTGCACAATTTATGTGTGGTTTTAGCTAACAATTTGATCCTGCTCAGGGACTGTGGTATAAGCTATAGGCATGGGAATTATTGGAATCTGCTATTCTTGATGCATCGGGAAAAGTTAATGCCAGATTAATGGGATTAGAAGATAGGAAATGAAAAAGAAAAACAGGTTGGTTAAGTACAGGGAAATTTAACGCTTTAATGAAACCGATGAAGATGGCAGAGAAAATGAATTTGGCATATTGTAATTCTGTTCATTCTTGGATATATTGGTTTGAAATGTTGTTGCAGTTTCAATTTTTGTGAATACGTATTACAACATTTTCTTGGCTTCTTAATTTAATATGAAGCTAGCCAAATAAACTTTTTGGTGGAGCTTTGGGTAAGACTTGTTTGCTGATTAAATGTTCCGGTGTCTTTGGGTGATTCAGTTTCATTTTTCATGGATGTAAGATGTTCAAATGGACTGAATTAAGATAAATTTTTGTGCCTTTGTCACTCTTTATAAGTGTACTTGGACGGACAGAGATAGAGAGGTGGTGGTTATGCTCGTGCCATTCAAACTGTATTCTTGCTTACATTCCATTCATATTCTATTCTCAGTCATGATCAACTTGCTTCCTGCTAGGAACTACTTTTACATAATGATTAGTCATCACATTTAATTCATATGTTGGGTTCTCAGGGCAGCAAAGCAAATTTTCTTCAGCCAAGAGAGGATGGAGCAATCGCACGCATTGCCCATGCAGATAGTCCTGCACATTCTACCTCCTCTGCAAATCAAAGCCAGTCGCCTTCATTAGCTACTGATCTTGAAAGTCCTAACAGCACACATCTATCAGAATTTGAAAATGATTCAGGTCTATTTTGTACTCCCATAGCCTATCTGTTATCTGTCATCTGATACAATATGGATAACTGATTCATATTTCAATCATTCACCCTTTCCTCCAGTGTATCTAAAGCAAAATTCGATGCAGCAGATATTTTCCAACCAAGTTCCAGATACAACTCTTTCCTTAAGATGCAGCAGTATGGACCTTGGATGAAAGGTAATCTTGCAAATGCTTGTGATCCAGCTCTGGAAAAAGATGATCCATGTAAGCTTGCAATCTTCTGATTACATTGTGCAGTGCGTTCTAGATGGATCGCTATCCTTGGGAAGCCTTTCAGGTGACTCTCTGAGATTACAGGCTGAAATTCCTAATTCTGATTCTTTCACAGTTGTTCAGGCTGGCATGGACAGGCTTGCAAATGAATCTGATGGTGGATTAAGATTTACCGGAACCAAACCAATGAATAATGATATGGCATCATGGCATGAGATCTTGGAACGATGTTCTACAGGGTTGCAATCATCTACTTTTGACGTGATTGTTGCTTCTACATGTGCTAATACCATGGTGAACTTTCCTCGGCAAAATCCTGTTGCAGACATTTTGAATGGTGGATTCCTTGATGCCAAAGAGGATGTTACGACAGTAGTTGACAAGCCAATGTTGCAGGTGCGCCACAATTTCGTTCATTTTTTGAGGGAAATATTTTGGAGAGAGCACACTTTGTTAGGATTTTCTTAAGATTTAAAGGAAAGTTGTTAAAAGTTGCTAGTAATTGCATGATTTCTTATAACATATGAAGAATATGATTTATGCTATGCTAACTCTTTCATTCCTTCAAAATTGCAGTCATTAACTATTTCTTGCGGTCATGCTAACAATTCATCTTAATGTCTTACAATATGAAATATAAAAATGAACGGATTTTAGAATTTTTGTTCTTTTCACTAGTTTGAAGTATTAAGTAAACGTGGATGCTCTCATATGGTTATGATTTTTGTATGAATGTCCAAGCAGCCCAAGTTGTTAGGATCACATGATAGTAATTAACTTAGATTTTATGTAAAACTTGAATATATAGAAGCATTGTGTTTTATGGGTAATGCTAGAGATATATGAATTTAAACCGCAATTCTGTTTGGAGAAGAAGAGGGATAACTACTGATATAACTTTGATGTAAGCTAATAAGCAACTATTATTTTACTGGTTTCACACATGGTAATGAATGGGCCGATAGGTCATCTTCTCCAATGTAAACTCTGCCTATTGCTGTAGGCTTCACTAGGATCAAAATGATCTCACGATCAAATGCACCTTTTGATACAAAAGATCTTGTGATAAGGGGAATATGTCTTGATGTGAATGTTGGTTTTGTGAGAATCGTTGGACAGAGATAATGAGGTATAGTGAATGATTGGTCATGAGCTAGTTGTGAGCTGTCTTTACTCCGGTAGATAGTGTATTTAAAAAAAAAAATTACTCTTGGCAATGCATTAACATAAATTGTCATTCATGAATATGAACACTGGGTTCATATTTTGATGGAATCTGAGTTTAGTTTCTTGTACATTGTGCTGAAAATATGAATACTGGGTTCATCCCTTATGATAGCGACAGTGGAAGTTCACATGATGAAATATGCGATGGGGTTGGAGATTATATATGAGCAATGACGATTCTCTCAGAAGATTGGACTTTTTAATGTTTTGTTGTTAAAGATAAAATCAAGTTGGACTGATTTGATAGGTTTTTTTTTTTTCACCATGATTAAGTCTCAAGACCAAGTAACACGCAGAATTCCATGTGATTTTGTTGGCTCTTGATATTTAATACTTTATAATATTGAATAGCTTTGATTTGAGGGGGAATTAAGGTTGATTTGGAGAGCTTTCATGTTAGAGGAGATCATTAAGGCATATGAGAGTATTGAGTTTAGTCCCATAAAGAATACTTGAATATTTTGATATAGAAATAATGTGTTTGGCTCTCATCCATGGGATTAAGCTTTTGAGTTAAAATGGGTTTGAGCACTGGTTTATCAAGCCTAATTTTGGCCTCTTAGTTTTGTTCTCCTTACACTCCTCTCATCCATTTATTGTATCATTAAAATACTTTTGTGCTCTTCAATTTTTTTTTTCCTTTCGTTAACTTTTGATCAAAAAATTACTAAAACCTTGAAGAAATCATCTTATTACAGTTTCCGTCGTGACAAATATCTAACGATTCTAACCATTATTTGTACATTGGTTCCAAAAAAGATTAGAAATTATTTCTTATTATTCCTCCTCTTCAAGTTGCAGTTCGATGATGAGGTGGTGGACTCCCTTGTTCCATTTAATACCAGAGTTGAGAACATCCAAACCTCAGATGTAAATCACATGAAGAATCAGTCAGACTTGTCTCTCATAGATTATCAAGGTTTGAAGAAATATGATAGCTTTTCTAGATGGGCAAGCAATGAACTTGGAGAAGTGGATGACTCACAGATTACCTTAAATTCTGGAATATATTGGAGCACACTTGAAAGTGATAGTGTTATTGCAGAATCCAGTGTGCAAAATCAAGAGCATTTTGATACATATCTTATGAGCCCCTTAATTTCTCATGATCAACTTTTCAGCATTATAGATTTCTCTCCAAATTGGACATACGCGGAAATGGAGACCAAGGTATCTGAACATAGATGCCATATTATTATTTTTTTACTATGTAACATTTTGAATTCCTTTTAAGATAATTGAAATCTTCTTATATAATAACTATGTTAGTTATTTTCTTTGCACTGATGAAGCAGGTTCTGGTCAAGGGAAAATTTTTTTTGAATAAAGAGGATGTGCAAAAATACAGATGGTCATGTATGTTTGGTGAAATTGAAGTGCAAGCTGATATTTTGGCTGATGGAACGCTTTGCTGCCATACACCATCTCATAAGCCTGGAAGGGTTCCTTTCTATGTGACCTGTTCCAACAGGTTAGCTTGCAGTGAAATACGTGAGTTTGAATATAAAATGAGTAAGATGCATGAACTTGGGAATACTGATTCTGATGGTAGCGATGCATATGATATTGATCTTCTATTCCGTCTTGAAAAGCTATTAATTTTGGAGGATTTTGATCACTCGAGTCCTGATTGTAGTCATACCCGTGAGAGGCCTCATATAAACTGCACAGTTTGCTCTATGATAATGGAAGTTGATGATGAATTGTTCAATTTATTCAAACACACCCCTGATGAAGATTTGTCCCATATCAATGCAGAGAACCAGTTACTTGAAGAATCATTGAAAGAGAAACTGCATGTGTGGCTTCTTCATAAAGTAGGGGAGGATGGCAAGGGTCCAAACGTCTTGGACAAGGAGGGGCAGGGTGTGCTTCATTTAGCTGCTGCCCTTGGTTATGATTGGGCTATTAAACCAATAATAGCTGCTGGTGTTGGTATTAATTTCAGAGATTTGCATGGTTGGACTGCCCTTCACTGGGCCGCATTTTTTGGAAGGTTGGTTTGTACTGAACAATCCGTCTTTGATGTTTTTTGATATATTTGGCACTTTGTAGCATTTCTAATTTTTTATCTCTTTCAGAGAGAGGACTGTTGTTACACTGGTTGCATTGGATGCATCTCCAGGAGCTTTAACTGATCCAACTCCCGAGTTCCCTTCTGGAAGAACCCCTGCAGATTTAGCATCTCAAAATGGGTACAAAGGGATTGCTGGCTTTCTGGCAGAGTCCTCTCTGTTTAAACATCTTCGAGAGCTCACTTTGAAGGACTCAGAAAGCTGTGATTTAACTGAATCTTCTGGTATACTGGGATACCATCACGGTGCTGATAAGGGTAGCTCACATCATGCCTTTGGGGGGACAGAAACTTCACTGAAAGATTCTCTTAGCGCTGTTCGTAATGCTACTGAAGCCGCAGCACGAATATATCAGGTTTTCAGAATGCAATCATTTCATAGAAAGAAACTCACTGATTACGTTGATGAAAATTGTGGAGTTTCAAATGAGGATGCTCTTTCACTCATTTATGTAAAGAGTAACAAGTCGGGACACCATGTTATGCCTGTTCATACTGCTGCGATTAAAATTCAGAACAAATTTCGAGGATGGAAAGGGCGAAAAGAGTTTTTGAGTATCCGACAGCACATTGTCAAAATCCAGGTTAGCGAAACTGACTACCTGTTCAAGCGTTGTTGATGTAACATTCTCTGATAATAATCTGCATCTTAGTACATGTATCGTGTAGTTGCCTTATGATCCTTTGAGTTCTGTTGAATGGTTTTTTCTCATTACTTTCCTGGTCTATAAACATGTAGTTGGTTTGGTTCTTAAGGTCACTGGATATTTGGAGATTGTATTATTATTGTTCCTAGTTTTAAGGTTTGGATGTGCTCCTAAGTATTGATCAGAAGGAAATGCGACATGCTATGTTAGGCTTTGTAGAACTGCTATTTTCCTGCCAAATCGTTTTATTTAAAGGTGTCTATCATATCTAGAATTCTTAAGGATGTTCATGGCTTTTAGTAGGTTTATTTCTCGACAAATTGGATGGATGTCCTTTTTCATCTTATGTGGAGTATAATTTGTTGAATGTTAGAATATTGAAATGCTAGAATCAATTTTACATGCATTAAATTAAACTAGAAACTTGAGATCCTCGCACAATGTCCTACTCTACCTGGCTTAAGCAAACCTTTGATTACTAGTATTTCGGGATTTGATAAAAAAAAGGTCATGTTGGGTGGGTTGCAAAGTCATATAGCGCTTGTTAAGTTTTCTGTTCATGCAAGTGGGGCTTTTATTGTTCCATGAACAGAATAATTTTAACTCTAGTGTAAGCATAACGGTATAGTATAAATATTCTTTTTATGAACCATCTCTCTAGTGAAAATGGTTGTACTTTTAAAACTATCTTCCAGTGATTAAATATCTTCTTACTTCTCTGACTCTCCTTAAATGTTTAAATCATACAATTCCCCCAAGTCTTTTTAAGTTGCTTCAGATAAACTGTTTCAGGAACAAGTTTTCCTACTAGTATGATCTTATTTACCCTTTTTGCGGAGCAGGCTCATGTACGCGGTCACCAAGTGAGGAAACATTATAGGAAGATCCTCTGGTCGGTGGGAATTGTTGAAAAAGTTATATTACGCTGGAGAAGAAAAGGAAGTGGCTTAAGAGGCTTTCGTTCTGAAGAGCCGCCTGAGGGCCCAAGTAATGAAAACCAAGTCATCAAAGAGGATGATTATGATTTCTTGCAAGAAGGAAGGAAACAGACTGAGGCTAGACTAGAGAAAGCACTTGCTAGGGTGAAGTCCATGGTTCAGTATCCTGAGGCCATAGATCAGTACAGGAGGCTTCTGAATGTTGTGGAAGAACTGCAAGAATCTGATGTAAGCTCTACTTTCCAATCATGAAACTGTATATTTAATGTTAAAAATTCCATATTTAGCATTTGGCTTTGAGGTTTTCTTAAGCTGGCCGCTTTGTCAAACAGCATAAGATAATTAGCTGCCTTAGAGACTAAAAACTTGGCTTAGCTAATGTGGGCAGAGGGCTGCTTTGGTGCTAACTGCTAAGCAGTGAAGTTGAGCCCTTTACCGTTGAAGTGTCCTCTTTTTTTAGTGGTCTTAGCACTGGCATTGGAAGGAGGTGGGGGAGTGGACCGTGAGCCCGGACTCTTCTTGTGGCTAATGGGAGTTGCTTTTGCCCACTTAGGAACTTCTCCTCTATCTAGAGCTTTCAACACTCATGAGAACAAGAATGCAAAAATTTCTCATTAATCATCCTTTTACAATAGTGAAGGCATTCATATATAGGCCTCAAAATAAAAGAGACTCAAAGACTAAGATGCCCTTAGGGTTACAACACAAACTAATCCTGCATAGGGGTACCATGGTAAAGACTAAAACATAAGCATAATAAATACATAAAATCTATCATAAATACAGAATCCTAATCGTAGCCGTCGATCGTCGATTCCTTCTATGATTGATGTGCCAGAATGTCCTGCTGATGTCCTCATCAGATTTTGTTGTAAATTTAATTGCCTGATTGACTCTTTTCAGTTCATACAAGCGGAAACTCCAAATGAAATAATGGAACCTGTGGGGGTTGTTGATCTCATGTTGGAGCTTGAAGGGTTGCTGCAAGATGATCCTCATATGCCACCAAACTGGTGATGGTTTGCTCTATCTGTTACTTGTTTGTTGTAAAGGTTTGCTTCTCTATGTTTTTTAAAGCTTTTACGTGTAAATTAATAATCTGCTTTGTAGATATCATGCACCTGCTGTGAGCATGTATTGTAGTTGTTTGCATAGATGGTGATGATTTAACATTTAGAACTGATTGATTTATATAAAGAAGCGCAGTAGGTTCTTTTTTGTGACAATAATGCTATCTCTGTTGTAAAATTTGGTATCCACCATATTTCAATAACCTTTGGAGAAATTTCATTATAAGGTTGTACATTGTAGAGGGTGTTGTAGCTTATAGAGTTCTACAAACGATTCTGGGGTTTCTGGAGCCTAACGCCATTCGGAGATCAACCAGAATGTGTCACGTCACCCCTGTGCTCAGTAATGCGGCTCGGTAATGCTCGGTACCGTGGCTCGGTACTGCTAACGTGGCGCATTTTGGTTGGTTTCCGAACGACGTTCTGCATCCGGCCTTCTCACAGAATAATTTCTCCATGATGGCCCACAGCCTGGGCCATGAATGCTATTATACTAATCTCAAAACATATTCATAAATTTTGAAGTCTGTCTGGATTATTTTGAATCAGGGCATTCTGATATTATTTTTTTCCTGGTGTTTATGGATCATTGTTTGTGATCCTTTTTTAGTTTTTTCATCTTTAGCAGGATATGGCATCCACTGCCATTGCCAACTATCAAAGCTGGTACATCATTGGCCCTAGTACCTCAAATCAAAATCATTAGACCCTACCAGGCTACCTTGACACGACATTGGTCATCACTAATGCCTAGGGCTGTCAAAAAGTTTTTTATTTCTTATTTGTTTGATCGTTATTAGATTGATAATTAATTTTTAGTTAAATTATTTATTTAACTCACTAAACATGATATGGTATTGTTTTATCATGTTTGGCTTGATAGTGATTTGACTAAGCATAATAACACTTGATCTCGCTCACATTTGAATCAGTTGTAGTGCTTACTTATAGCAACTACACGTCCATTGCCCATCGAGAAATTATTATGTGTGGAGTCTGGATGTACCTCGCATTTGGATTTCAATGTGTATAAGTTACGTGGTTTATATATACCCTGTGTATAGCTTGTACATATGGTGTATATAATACATACTTTGTATATATATATATGATTCCGGATGTGTTCGGATTTAGTTGTTAAATGAAATTATTGTTGATGTCTAAAAAATAAATGAACTCTTAATATGTTTGATTTGATTTGATTTTGAGAGAGAGAGAGAGAGAGAGAGAGAGAGAGAGAGAGATTAATTATAAGCATACCTAATTGAGCATGGTAGGCCTCATAAATTTAGATTACACCAGATATAAAATGGGTTTTTGAATAGCTTAAATAAATGAGCTAAGAACAACCCATTTGAGATCCGGCAAAATTTTTATTAGGAACTGGTTAGCTGTCTAATTTAGCAATAGGAACGAAATTTAACTTAAATTTTAAAAGCAATGAAAACGCAATACCACAGGAATTTCATTGATTAGATAGAAAACGCGAAAGAAAGTATGGTTTTCTTAGAAAACTTAAATATATTTTTCGTTTGTCAGTAGAAAATGCAAAAATCAATTTGTTTTTTTTTTCTAAGAATTTTTTTCTTTTTTTGCATTTTCTTCACACAACTACAGCCAGACCTGTGATTACTCCTCACGTGCGAACGACTTCTTCCTTTCTGCGCGCAACTGTCAGCCAACATACAGATTTTCTTTACTGAAAATCAAATATAAAAAAAATTAGAAAAAAAAAATATCAGAAGAAGCAGAAGGCCGCTTGATTTAATTTGAATTGGATTATTTAATTTAAGTTTAAATAGTAGATTAAAATTTATTTTTTAAGTTTGAATTGTATGCAATACTTTACTGAAATCAAAGTTTTTATTAATGTTGTTGACCATTAGTGAATATGTCATGCCTACTCTTATTCTACGATGGGGAGCTGCAACTAGCAAAAGACTTTACACTTACCTATATTGGGGAAAGAAATAAACCTCTAGATGTCTAGAGGTAAATGGCATGTTAACATTTGAACAAATACAACAACAACAACAACAACATCAAGTCTTTATCCCACTATGTGGGGTCGGCTACATGAATCTTTTTTCTCCATTATGTCCTATTAAAAGTCAAATTCTCGTTTAAATCTAATAAAGAAAGGTCATTCCTAATATTTTCTAACCAAGTCTTTTTACGTCTACCCCTACCTTTCTTAACATAAGTCAAATCTAATACCTCTACTCTCCTAACCGGGTCATCGCAAGCCGCCGTTTTATGTGACCAAACCATCTAAGGCGACTTTCTCTAATCTTATCTTCTACTGGAGCTACTCCAACCTTTTCACGTATATGCTCATTTCGTATCCTATCTCTAAGGGTAAAGCCACTCATCCACCTGAGCATCCTCATCTCTGCCACACTTAACTTAGTATTATGCTTCTCTTTTAAAGCCACATTCGGCACCATAAAGCATTGCAGCCTCACTACCATCTTATAGAATTTTCCCTTAGTTTGAGGGGTACATTTCTATCACATAACAAGCCGATGCATTCCTCCACTCAACCATCCAACTTGAATTCTGCTGATAATATCCCCATCTATTTCACCATCACTCTGAACAATAGATCCAAGATATCTAAAACGTGTACTCTTATTAATGACTTGATCGCCCAAAGTCACAATCCCCTCACTAGGTCTATACTGCTAAAATTACACTCCATATATTCCATTTTAGATCTACTCAAGCGAAAACCTTTAGACTCTAAGTTGATCTCCATAATTCAAGTTACCTTCAACTCCTCTCTAGTCTTATCAACAGAAGAATATCATCAGCAAAAAGCATACACCAAGTACATCCTCTTGCAAATGTCTAGTGAGAACATCCTTGACTAAAGCAAAAGATATGGCTTAAGCTGATCCTTGATGTAACCCAACCGAAATAGGGAATACTGGTCAATCCACCTTTGTTTGAACACAAGTAATAGCTCCTGTATACATATCTTTAATGATTTGAATATAGCATTATTGACTCCTTTCTTTTCAAAACTCTCCATAGCACTTCTCTTGAACTTTATCATATGCTTTTTCTAAATCAATAAATATCATATGTAGATCCTCCTTATTTTCTCTATATTTCTCCATGAAACCTCTTAATAAATGTATGGCTTCCATAGTCAACCTACTCGGCATGAAACAAATTGTATTTTGAGAAACATTAGTATCACGCCGCAACCTATTGCTCCATAACTCGCTCCCATAGTTTTAAAATATGACACATTAACTTAATACCTCTATAATTTGCACAATCTTGTGCATCACCTTTATTCTTAAAAATAGGAATTAACACACTCATTCTCCACTCATCTGGCATCTTTCTTTAGTCTTCAAATTAGTATTAAAAAGTTTAGTTAAGCCATGAAAATTTCCTTCATCTCACTAAGCATTCCACACCTCTATTGATATCATCAGGTCCAACACCCCTATTAACACTGGCCAGTTGCCAGGTCCCAAGTCCGGATGAGAAAAGTGGAGGGTTGCGTTAGGTAGTCGACAGCCAGCGTAAAACTTGTCGAACAATAATGACATGAATCCTTTAAGAAATTGTAATATTTGAACAAATGCAACTTAGAATTCTTTGAGCCTTACGACGCGATCAGAGCACACACAATTAATCTAACTTGTTGATTACATATTGATGGTGGTCATATTGTTATCCGTATCATAGACGATGAGGCATGTGACTTCGAGCTTGTTGAGGCTCGAAGGAGGACAATGGCCATATATGTCAAATTTGAGGAGTTACCCAAAGAAGTTCTAGAACCAGAGCACTCATCCCCTGTGCCTTTGATAACCCCCAACATTCCAACCACATGTACAAGTTAACATCGAACATCTCCTCCTGTTTGCTAAATGCTTTAACTCTTAAATATAATATAAGTAGTCATGACCCTGCACAAATCATGTAGGCCCACCCCATCTATGGTTGATCTGTCGGCTACGCGTTGCTTAAGCCTGGGAGAGCGGCCAATGATTGACTTAAACTTTCCATCCTACGCTCAATTTTCACAGTTCATCACGTTGTACCTTAATACAACTCAAGTTACCTTTGAAGCTTGTGCAATGCTGGATGAAATTGAATGAAACCTTCCCATTTATGAGACCATGGACAATAGTACAAGTGAAAGCTCCAACGATGATGCTGAACCCCTTACAGATCTTATTCCAACCGATGATATGGACCTTATTGTTCATGGGCATGAAATCATTCGGAGTAACATCGTACAAAACATGGAAAATCTTGAATCCATGATTGCAAATATTGATTTCGTACAATTCATACATACTATTGAGGATTAAGACGCTACAGACATTGTAGATGCCCCCCTGAGACATAACCAAGAGGAGTTAGAGGCCATGATTCCTAATGATCTCTACGAGGGCATGACATTCAGAACCAAGGAAGCATAATATTATGCTCTAAATGGTTGGTCTATTAAGAATAACGTTGAGTACAAGAAGACATGCTCCAACAAGCAACGCCTTACTATGATATGCACTCAGAACAACCACCAATCATGCCCTTGTTTATGGCGCCTCAATGTTGGAAGGAGCAAGCAGCTTGGTGGAGTATGGAAGATAACATCCATCTTAGATTGACTCAAATGTACACATCCAATATTATCTGTCACTCATCGTAAATGCACTTCAAAGTTTATTTGTTACTACATAATGGTTGCATCGAGGCAGCAGTTACATTTGAAGCCCATAGAAATCATTGCGCATATTGAGGCAAAATTTGAAATTAAGATTTCATACATTAAAAGCATGGGATGTTTGTAGGAAAGAAATATGTTCAGTCTTTGGGAGTTATGAGGAATCATATGCTTCCTTAAACATAATGATGGAAGTAATATGGTTCACAAATATGGGCATTGTTTATAATACTCAACTTAGCAAAGGCATCTATTTCAAAGGTATATTATGGTCTTTCGGTCCCAACATACATGGGCGGCAGAATTGTCATCCTATGCTTTGTTTGAACGATATATTTTTGTTGGATAAATATTGAGGTACTCTATTAGTTGTCGTTGGGATTGACAGGAACAGTGGACTTTATCCACTAGCATTTGCAGTAGTCAAATCGGAATCGATTTAATCATGGAGTTGGTTCTTACAAAATATTCACAATCTCGTAGGA